TTACCTCATGCGAGGAACATCACTCTCTATTGGAGCAACCTAACCAGACAGGCTGAGACAGCGGACGCGGGCACCGACGCTGAATGAGCTCCCTCATTCAGCCCCAGTTGAGGCACTAGCGTACAAGCCTCGTTATATAGGAACCTCGCGAGCTAGGCACATAGTTCTCAGTTAGTCCCGTGAGTAGTGAGGGCACTCATAGGCAGTGTCCAATGGTCAACTAACCAAGGTCTTAAACCACCAGTACTTGGGCACTGCGCGCCGGAGGTCGAAGCGACACGGGCTGTGGATTCAATTTATCCACGGCCCGCCGGCCGCGAAATTTTCGTAGCGTTAATGCTAAGGCCGGCCACAAGTACTGGTGGTTTAACCTATAAGCCCCTCTAAGCACTAACCTAGCACAGCTCGGATCATATATGTCTACTGTTAGTTGTTGAGTATGCTGGTTGTTATCTGAGTAGCTCTTGATTCGACATTGGTTTCCCTACAAGGCAACCCTCCCCACCATAGGACTGCCACGGTATCACCATCCACCCAACCAACCCCTTACTACTCACCTGCCCAAAAGAGTAGCATCCTTCCCACATTAACTTTCCCGCAGGAAAGGCACACGTTCCCACCCGAAACCATGTGGAGGATCATCCCTTAGCTGATATGATGAATGAGCATAGTCGGAGTTCAACTCAGGACCTCCAAGTTAGTATATCAGAGCTCTACCCACTGAGCTATTGAGGTCATTAGTCTGTAAGGGCGCTATGCCAGGCAGGCACGGGAGAAGTACGTGGGGTGCAACCTACACCAACCAATTGTGCTCAGGGGAAATTGTGGGCCGACGAAGTCGAACCCACAACCTCCCCGTTGAGACACCTGAGCGGTGAGCTCTGCCCACTGAGCTACCACGTACTTGCTTACCAACTGGCTGTCTCGAAGGTAAGACGCCAAGCATGCCACAGGCACTATCGTGGGGGCAATCATGGGAGTTGAACCCACGACCTCCTGAGTGCCGCTTGAACGCCTTACCAACTGAGCTACACCCAAGGTTCCTAAGGAAGCAGCTTCAGCCTCAGTGAAGACAATGGCAGATCATTGAAGTAGGCCAGGCTTTCATTGGGTGTATGCTGACATTCCTGGAGAGACTATGGGAGGATGGAGGAGATGTGGCCGGAGGGTCGGTAAGAACAGACAGGCGCGATGTTAGCGCTGTTTCCATGGAGCGACAGGGAGCACGTGCGCGCGCGTCACGGGTATTGGGTGCACGTGCGTGCACGTCGCGAGTGTTGATGATGGTTTGGGTGCGTGCTTCCGGGGGCACACGTGGTTGTGGCTGGCGGGCAAGGTGTGCTGCTGGCAGGCTGGGTAGGTGTCCATGGTGGTCCAAGCATGCTTTGCTGGCGAAATGGGTGCAGGCGTCTCGTGGGGCTTGCTACTGTTGCTGGCGGGAGTGTGGGAGATACCAAGGATACACGCGTGGCGTGTTAGCGAGAGAGTGGTCGCGACAACACATCAGAAATTAGGAATGGAGCAGGCGCTACAGATGGCGGATGGGCTAATTTACTCAGGAGTTGAGAAATCGGAAGCGGATGAAGATAATAGGCTTACATCTCTTCTCTTTTTAGCTTCTGACTTTGGAAAGCACTATGTGTGCCATCTCTTCGCTTCGTGCTTCATGTGGACGATGTTGCGGGTCAGCATGCCAT